GAGGAACCATGGGGTGGGCAGGCCTTTGCCATCGTGCCAGAAGGGCAGGTCCCCGGGGCCAGGATGCATCTTGCTGCCAATTCACTTTGTTCTGAATCACACTGATGCTGTGCAGGGAGGGATGAGAGAAAAATCCAAGTCGAAATGTACCCCTTGTGTCACTGACCTCACCACTGACAGTGCAGGGACCCCAAAGAAATGTTCAATTTCTCAAGTCATCTTTACCTAGTGAAGGTCGAAATAGTAAATCCTCAAAACTATAAACTAAATAAGGGTCCTTTATCTGATAGTATATTCCCGTTAACTCCCATTTAAAGGTTCTTATGGGTTGAACTGTGTTGCCCTCAAAAAAGATATGTTGGTGGGGCCGGCCCAGTGGTGTAGTGGTTAAGTTCACGTGCTCTGCTTTGGGGCCGGGGTTCACGGGTTTGGAGCCTGGGTGTGGACCTACACACGGCTCATCAAGTCATGCTGTGGTGGCATCCCACATAAAATAGAAGAAGATGGGCACAGATGTTAGCTCAAGGCCAATCTTCCTTACCAAAAAAAAAAAAAAAAAAGGGATATGTTGGAGTACTGACCCCCCAGGACCTCAGAATGTGGCCTGATGTGGAGATGGGGTCTGCATGAAGGTGACCAAGTCAAAATGGGGTCCTTAAGGTGGATCCCAGTATGACCAGTGTCCTCACGAGGAGATTCAGGCCCAGATACAGACGTGTGCAGTGGGAACCCATGTGCAGGTGAAGACAGAGACTGGAGTGATGGGGCCACAAGCCCAGGAGCGCCAAGGATGCTATAAGTACCAGCAGCTGGAAGAGGTGGGAGGACCCTCTGCTGGAGCCCTCAGAGGGAGCATGGCCCTGAGACCTTGGTCTCAGACGTCTGGCCTCCAGAACTGAGAGAAGCAGCTTCTGTCATCTGAAGCCCCCAGTTTGTGGTCCTTGGTTACGGTGGCCCCGGGAAACGACACAAACATTCTGTGTCTTCTCTACACAAGCAGTGCCTTCCAACCGTCTGTTGTGATGGATCAGTTAACTTTTCTCTTATTTGCAATCCATTGTGGACTGACTTTTTCAAAATACAATGACAATGAATTGCTAGAAAAAGAAAATTTAAAAATGACGTACAAAACACAGAGCCATCGCCTTGGGATTCGGTTAAACAGGCACACGGCCCTTCTGTGGGTATGGCTATCCAGGCGTCCACACACCGCTTGGAATGTGAGCACCGGCATCGAGGGTCTGGGGCTGAAGGCTTCCTCCCGCTGGTGGGCAGAGCCCAGCACGCCGGGCACCACTGGAATTTCCCTCTCCACCCTTTTTCCAAGCAGCGTCTTATTGTGGAATCAGGCAGTGGGCACGTGTGAAAAATTAGTTTGGGGAGAGGGTAAAAAGTTTGAAAACGGGCGCTAAGCTATTTCCAATAAATATATGCGGAAACCTCCCGGCCTGCCGGGCAAGCCTTCAGATCCTCGACCAGAAGCATCTCTTTGCTGCTGCTCTCCAGGATTCGAATGGGTGTCAGGAAGACCCGAGAACAGCGCTGACATCAGACGCGGACGGCCCCGCCATCGGAAACCTGGCCCTCCAGGCTGTGGGGCTGCTCTCCACTCGTGTTGACAAAGGTGCGGCCTGATGTCGCGCTGCCCGGCCCCCGGGAGGCGGCTTCTGCAGGAGGAAGCGGACTGGGGCCCAGCTGCGCGGCTGGGGGGACCCCCGCGGCCACTTCCTCTTTGCTGTCCCCACAACCCAGAGTTGTTTTGCTCTGCCTGCTTATTTTGCTCTTTGTGCCTTGTCTTTGTTTCTCCTTGAAAGTATGTTGTTTTGCTTTTCTAAGTGGAAAGGGAATAAATGTGATTATTTTTCGACAAGTCTGTTTGAGAACAAGCTGCACAGACACTTTGTTGGGCCTCCAGGCGCTGCCCTGTCTCTGTGCCCCATTCCCAAATCCCCCCTCGCTTTTGTGGGGTCTGGCTCCTCTCCTCTTGCAAGTGAGGCCCCTCCTCCAGGCCCCTGCTCCTCCCTGCCCCCAAGGACGTCCAGCCCTGGGACCCAGGGCTCCGTGGGCACTGGAGAGTGTCCTAGAGGAGGACTCGTCCCAAGGAAACTGTCCGGCTCCCAGGGCCTTCCCGCCCTTGCTGGCAGGGCTGTTTGCGGGTTTACGGGGTGCAGAGAAGCAGCAGCAGGTGGAATTCCAGCAGCTGAGGCAGCCTGGGGCATTCAGGAGATTGGGGTGAGCTCCCCAAGTCACAGCTTAGCCTGCCTGGATAGCAGTGACGGGCTGGGTCAGCGAGGCCTCTGGCCTGAGTCAAGGGTCCGAGTCTTGGTTCTGGCCTTGTCCTTCCTCGAGTTGAGTCCTGGAGGCTGGGCTGTGGGTGGGGCTGGGGGTGGGCTGGGCTCACTCGGAGCTGCCTGCTGACCTGAGACCCGCCCCTCCCTGGTCTCCATCCACTGCCTGCACGGCCGCCTGCAGACCACACACTACGGAGAACAGCATGCGAGGGAGCGATCCTCAAACCTGGAAATCAGCCCCTCGCCACGGCCCCATCTTAGAGAGAACTGAGCTGGACCCTTGCAGAGCACCGGCCAGGAGCGGGTGAGCCCTGCTGGCTTGGGTGGCACTCGGGTGCCTTTTAAACAGAGAGCAGCAGCTGGAGGCACTGGAGTCACGGGGACGCGGGGACACGGGTGGGACGCACGGGGCGAGCTCCCTGGGCGCTGGCGGCTGAGGGAGCCCCGTCAGCTGAGGCAGCACTCTCGTTTCCTTCTACCTTCCTCCTCGGGGTTCTAAGAAGGACCTCCTCTTGTTTCTCTGGTACAACCCTCCCCCCTTCACCCGCGTAGGCTTCACTGTCAGCGATAGTGAAAAACGGAGGATTAGCATCTTCTCGAGAGTCCTCGCACACCCACCCGAGGCAGCAGCCCGCCTGCCTCTCCCATGTGTGGGCTACTCCTGTGGAAATAAGAAATCGTTTCCCAATCTACAGGACTGGAGGCGCCCCTGTGGCTGCTGTGACCGATTGCTGTAAAATCAGCGGCTTAGCACAACATGACTTTATTCCTCACAGTGCTGAAGGTTAGAAACCCAGCGTGGTCTCTCTGGGCTGCAGTCAAGATGTGGGCACGGCCAGCTCCCATGGGACATTCCCCGGAGAATCTGCTTCCTGGATTTTCCGGCTTCCAGCGGCGCCTGCATCCCTGGGCTCGGGGTGCCTTCCTCCGGCTTCACAGCCTGCAGCGTAGCACCTTCCAGTCTCTCTCTCTCTGACCTGTGCTTCCCTCACCACGTCTCCTTCTCTGACTCCGACCCTCCTGCCTCCCTCTTATAAGGACCCTTGTGATGACCCTGGGCCAGCCCAGAGGGTCCAGGAGCATGTTCTCTCTCGAGATCCTCAGCTTAGTCACATCCACAAAGTCCCTTTCTCCTTGTAAGGACACGTATTCACAGTCTCCGAGAACTAGGATGTGGGCGTCTTTGGGGGCATTATCCAGCCCATCCTGAGAAGGTACTGAGATGGGACGTTGGAGGAGGAGGCTGAGCAGCATCGAGGAGACAGCGTGTCACAGGCTGAGAGGTGGCCCTGCTCTGCTCCCTTCTGTATCTTCAACACCCAACATGGGGCCTGGCCCATTCGAGCCACACGGACTGTTGAAAGAATGAAAATACCTAAATACGAAGTGAGCCCATTATGGGATACCATCCTGGATTGTAGGACTGCGTGATTAAGAGAGAGGTCCAGAGGGAAACAGCATTCGTAAGCGGCAGCTGCCACCTCTAGCACGCCGACGCTACGCCAGGCACCAAATTAAGACCTTTGTGTCCATCATTTCCTTTCAATCTCCCAGCAGCCTTGTGAGGTTCCTTGTCTTACAGATGCAGAAACTGACGCTCTGAGAAGTAATTAGCCCAAAGTTCGATGTCCCGGAAATGTAGCCTGTGTTCTAACCCTCATCTGAGTTTCCCAAAAGCTAAATGAAATGAAGCTTCAGAACGCAAACACAAGCTTCACGTGCCAGAGGGTGGCTCCACATAATTTTGTTGTCACCAATTCTGACGGTGGGACAAAGCTTGAGCCCTCTCCCCAGGGGGGTGATGCAGAGCACCCACCACACAGCGGTTGTCCTGTTCCTTCTAGAAACTCACAGCCCCTGGGGGTCAGCCATGGGCCTATGGCTCCAGGAAACCGAGGTCACACGTCCTGTCTAAGGAGATTCTGTCCTTGGAGGAATCCAGTGGCGGAGTCTGTTGTGAGACTTGGAATGTGTGGAAGACCAAGCCCACATTTACCAGCCGTAAATCTGGACGGGCATATGTTGAACTTGCTTAAAATACGGTATATTTAAAGTATGTCCTGCCAGGAGAAGCTTTTCTGCCTCTCTCTTGGCTGACTATGAATCCGAAACCCCCATAGGCTATAAATTCAACATTATATTCTATCTTGCTTGAAGATAAATATAATGGTGTTCGAATGTGGGCTCGTAGCCACTGTCTACACCTGTTGGTCTGTATGAAAAGTGCATTCCGTGACCTAAGTGAGACACTTTTATCTTCAAGTCAGAATAGCAGTGCTGAAACCAGAAGACGCAGTGAGAGTCGACAGATTTGAGAATCCCATATGTTCACACCAAAAAAGAAAGCAAGCCCTTGATTGTCAATGGAGTGGAAGCCACGGGTCCTGCCTCCCTCAGTAATCGACCTGGGGTTTCAGCCCCAGCACGGTCGACACCGGGGCGCCCTGTGCACTGCGGCCTGCACACGCTCACTGCCCAACCCCACCGCTCCCGCTGCAGGTGGTGACAACAGAATGTCCCCAGATGTTCTCACATGTCCCGGGGTGGGGGGGGAGGCAAATCGCTCCTGGTTGAGAACCACTGAACTAAAGACAGAACAGGAATCTCATACATTAGCACCAAAAAAAAAAAAAAAAAAAAAAAAATAGCGAGCAGTTATTTGTTGACGAACAAAGAGAACCACATGAAAACTCCCCGTCTGTTACTTACCAGACCAGAGTGGCGCCCACATCACCTTCTCTGCTCCGTGTCCTGCCTGCGCCGTGGATCAGCATCTCTAGGTGTCAGGCCCGCCGAGAACTCAGCCTCCCGGATGGCTGTCTCCCAGACTCTGTCCACCCACTCCCGGGCGGCCTGGCTCTGCGCCCGGATGCTGCACCGAGGAGACCCGAGCAGGACGGGTGGGGACCAGGGCGGGTGGTGCCCACTGCTTCCCCCGTGTGGATCTGCCCTCTTTCCAGCACACTCCTCACCTCCGAGCTCTCGCATTCTAGAACCCCGCGGAAAGGTGCTCTTTGTTCTCCTCACCAAAGGCAGTTCCGTGATGCTCGTCTGTGTGACTCCATACAGGGTGGTCCATTTGAACCGGCACTTACAGGACCCCCTACATCTTAAGAGGAGGCGATCTGGTCTGAGATGTCCAGCCAGCAAGCCGCTCTGATGGGCGCTTAATTACCACTGGTGATTTATAATAAACAGCGAAAGAAAAACTCCTCGATTGCCTAAATCGCTGGTTTCTGCGGGCAGTTTTTGTGAGGTTTCTGCTTCCAGCCCTTCTGTTTGTTTTGCGGCCTGGCTGGGCTCCAGAAAGCACAGTTACACAATCTCTGGCCGGCCTGGAGCCTCCCAGCATCCCGCTCTGTGATTCCAACCCCGTCACCCTGATTCTGGTAAATTCTGGTAATGAACGTGGCCGACTCTTGTTCCTCTTGCTGGCACAGTCCCCAATGCTCAGGGCACGTAACGGCCGGCTCTGGGGCCCCCTGGCCAAGTCACCTTTGGGAAGACTCCTACCCTCTGGGAGCCACTGTGCTCTCATCTGCGAAATGGGAACACGGGAACATCGCCCTCATGGGGTTGTTGTCTTAAAAAAGCCAGGTAGATGTTTCTCCATCCTGTCTGGCAACAGGAGGCACGAAGAGGCAGCACCTCCCAGCAGCCGAGCCAGACGTGGGGACGGCCCTGAGCCATGTGAGGGAGCGTTGCAACGCAGCGGGGCTGTCCAGGATGGAGCAGCTGCGGTCCCAGCCCCGTCAATGTGTACGTGCCCTCTGCGCAGGAGGCAGGGGTTGTAGCCCTCCTTGTTCAGGGGAGAAACTGAAGGCAGCTGAGTTTGCCGGGTCACCCGTCTCCAGCCCCGACTCTGCCACTGTCTGACTCAGAACCCAAGACTCGGCATATTCTTATTCAAAACCAGCAGAAGCGTCGCCCAACACAGGCCCGGAAGGCGAGGAAGGCACCACGAATGAGCCCAGAAGGACCCAGACGGTATTTCCAGCCAGTAAGAGGCCACAGAAATACCTCTGTGCTTCACCCCAAAGAAAGCTGTCAGAGGCCGGAGAATTGCCCAGCCCGCTCTTCAAGGGTTAACTGTTTCCGAGCTCTGTGGAGACAGCACGGGGAGCAGAGCAAGGCAGACCCAGGCAGCGGCGGTCGGCCAGCTGTCTCCTCTCTCTTTCCACCCGAATAAACACTGTGCAAACAGCCCCTTGCAGGAGAGCGGGCAGTGAGCGTGGAGGTGTGTGTGAGCCTGGGCGTGAGCACGTGTGTGTGCAGGGGTGGGGGAGAGTGTGAAAGGAGAAGTGGTTTCTGAAAGGAAGCAGGAGCGCCCTGAGCCCTAAACGAGAACTGACACTCTGGGTGTGGAAGGGCAGCTACATCCAAGAGTCAGCAAAGTGCCAGAAACCGCCCAAAAGAACACTGTAGAATCATTCACTCTCTTTTTTGTTGTTTTTTAAAATTTTTTATTTGTTGTATCTTTTTTTGAGGAAGATTAGCCCTGAGCTAACATCTGCTGCCAATCCTCCTCTTTTTTTGCTGAGGAAGACTGGCCCTGAGCTAACATCCATGCCCATCTTCCTCTACTTTATATGTGGGACGCCTGCCACAGCATGGCTTGACAAGCGGTGCCATGTCCGCACCTGGGATCCGAACCGGTGAACCCCGGGCTGCCAAAGCAGAATGTGTGAACTTAACCACTGTGCCACCGGGCAGGCCCCCATTCACTCTTTTTTATGACATTCGCTCAATCTTTTCTTAAAGAAAATAAGTGAAACAGCTATGGTCTCCAGACAGGTTGCCTCCCTCAGTCAAACTGCAGTTGGTCTCTAATGGAATGTTCTACGTCAACAGCAATGTTCCTGCTACTTTGAAACCCTTTACCCATAATAAAAGCCACTTTGATGAAGCACTGTCAGGCACATAAAATCTAAAAACTGCCAAAAACTGTAAGGTGGTTAGGACTTAGATTATGTCTGTTTTACAGGTGGGAAAACTGTGGCTATAAATTGCGTCTCTTTCACCAGGATCTAGGACATTCTTTTTTTTTTTCAAGCTATGTTACAATATGGTTTGAGTTTTAGTTGTTGTTTTTTCTTTTTTGCAGGGGAAGATTCACCTTAAGCTAACATCTGTTGCCAATCTTCCTCCTTTTTCTTCCTTTTTATCCCCCAAAGCCCCAACCCAGTTGTGTATAGTTGTAAATTCTTCTAGTTCTTCAGTGTGAGCCACCACCACAGCATGGCTACAGACAGACGAGTATAGGTCTGCGAGCAGGAAACTAACCCAGGCTGCTGAAGCGGAGTGCAACTAACCTAACCACTGGGCCATCAGGGCTGCCTCTGGGACATTCTTAATGAACCCAATTTACAAAATATTGATTTATAGGAAAAGATACTTTCAGACATGATGTACAAAACCAAACGAGACGACTCCATTTCCAAAATCCCATTTCCACGTGGCTTGTCAGAAATACCCCAGGGAGCGAAGTCACACATTTCCATCAAGGACCCTATTTCCAGGTAACAAGGCTGTGCTGTAGGAGACCAGGAAATGTGTCCCCTAAGGCAGGCCAACAAGCCCAGAGGTCACAGCACCAGGAAAGGATCGTCCAGTTTGGAAAGCAAGCCTCGTCTCCAGTTTTGTGGCGTGGATGGCTTATGCTCTGAATGTCGGCAGGTTTAAAAGCCCTGGTGTCCAGCACACAGGGACGGACCCTCACTGTGGCCCCCCAGACAAGGCAGGGACGATCCTCACTGTGGCCCC